AAAGAAGGTTGGATCAGTTTTTAAGATAGGTATCTAAAGTCATCAACATTACAAAAGTGTTACGGATTCGAAATATCGTAAATTGATTGAAGTCAAACATCAAAACCATTAGATTCCAACTCAGAGCTCTGGAGGTTATACTTTCGCGATCGAGACCGAAAGCCTTGGGTATAAACCCCAGTGGCGAGGTTGTGGATGTACGCTGAATTCTATACTGGGGCGAAATAGCTATACAGTACTTCCTCATTATCAGTAGTGGTTCAACTAACATTGGTGTATGATTTAATCTTCGAATATTATGCAATCAAGAGTTAATATAATACACTTCAAGTATTTCAAAGACAACCTAAAAATAAATCGTAATTACTAGAAAAACCTCATTTATTTATTTATTCTTACAAATATCTTTTGTTAGGTTCTATGAAATCTTCCAAGATAAAACGTAACTTTTTTGACACATTATTCTTTAAATTGATAATGTGAAACGAATATTACTTACTTACGCCTGTTACTCTTCATGAAGGAGCATAGGCCGCCCACCACCACTCTCCATCCAACCCTGTCCCAAGCAATCCTTTCCAGCTCCTTCCAGTTCCTATTCATCCTTTTCATATCTGCCTCTATTTCCCGAACTAATGTGTTTTTTGGCCTTCCTCTTTTCCTCTTCCCTTCAGAATTCCAAGTTAGTGCTTGCCTCGTGATGCGGTTTGGTAATTTCCGTAATGTATATTCTATCGATTTCCATCGTCTTTTCCTAAATTCCTGTTCAGATGGAAGCTAGTTTGTTCTCTCCCATAGTTTGCTGTTTCTTAAGGTATTCAACCAATCAATGTTGAGTATGTTGCGTAGACAACTATTTATAAATACTAAATTCTAACAACCAGCGCAACAATTTTTATAGGTGAAATGAATACAGTGAAATAATAAATATGAATTTCGAAAGTATCTCATTTAATTCATTAATTAAGATTATTATCTAAACTATTCAATTTCACAGAAGAACAACTGTACATTCACCAAAATAATTCTACATATGCAATAATGTAAACTGAAGTACTTGAAATGCTTCAATACACTTTAAATTTTCTAATTCAATATACATCCAACTGATAGGTCCCAAGTAAAACAAACAGCATGTCATGAATTGCACTACTACCTCTATGTTCTGTCTATTTAAAAAAAAAGATACAAAAACATACTTATGTCAAAGTAATCTGTACAAGATTTATTTATGCCAACAAAATCTGGTCAAAATACACTTGTGTATATTAACAAACTGATGATATAAACACTTATTAATAATCATATAAACAATATATCTGTTAAACAAATTAATAAGATTAGAAGGGGTTTTGTGAAGATTTTAGTAATTTCAATAATTGAAATCATGAGTCAATTGAAGCCAGACCTGGGTTTGAATCTCGCAGGTGGCGCGATCGTGGATTCGCACTATTGAAGAATCCCATACTAGGACGAAACGGCCATCCAGTGCTTCCAGGTTTTTCATAGTGGTCTAGCTTCAATTGACTCATGATTTCAACTATTGAAATTAATAAAAGTTTGAACTTAGTAACTTAGTAAATAACAAATTAGAATTTGAAATGATAAACATTTGGTCAAAGTTCAAATATAAATATTAATACATAGATACAAGTACATCCAGTTGATAAACTTTATATAAGATTAATATACGTGAATTTTACTACTAATTACAATTGAACTAGTTGAATGAAATAGTTTTAATTTTAGAATATCAAGTTCAAAGTTCATGAGAATACTATTTAATATGTTATACAAACTATCTACTACTATTTATACATTTGGTATATTTATAAAGTTTTTTAAGAATTCAGGGTTATATTTAAATTAACTAACGTTTATATGATTATCATTTTATTAAGTATCAAATGACAGTATGATTTAATTAAATAAACAACAAATTTAGATCGAATTTTTTCTAAAGAACATCGAAGAAGCACAAATAGATCTTCCTGTAAATGTTACCACAACAACAATGAAAAAAATCAATATGACTATCTGACCAATCAAGAGTGGGAAAGCAGAAAGACCACACAGCATACCGATTGAAGTAATGAAGCCAGACACAGATGTAACAGCGAAGATATTCTACGATCTCTCAGAAAGATTTGGGAGGTAGGACAATTATCGACAAACAGAAACGAAGGACATCACTCAGGCGCCTTCCTTGTTTGTTTTAACACATTATTATATCAATTAATTGCATAAGTCATTCATGTGCATTTATGAAAAGTTGACGACATTTCTCTGTGCTAGTTATAAAAATATACAACCGGATACATCGTGATTTCTGGCATTGTGTATTGAAATGAATGAATATTATTCAGATATCAACTTCCTAAATGATAATATCTAACTAGTCACCACCTAGTATTTACCGTCTGGATCGATCAAGTAATAAGAAAAGGTATGTGTTGTTCTGAGAATTCTATCTTGTACTAAAAATATAATATTGAATAAAGACACTAATAATAATGATAATTAAAAGAAAAGTGTATATTTCACTGTAGCTTAGAGTGCATACCAATGACCATATCATCAGTGTAATCTGAAATATTGAAGTTTAACATAGAATTTATTATTTTTAAATTAGTAACTTGACTTTGGTGTATACACTCTCTGTCTTCTCTTCTTTCTACAAACTAAATCTTTCCTTCCGTACTTTATTCTTATATGCAAACTTTCTTTTATATATTGGAACCATTGAATTAACTACTTCTATGAATTCGGTGTTCATCTTGCTGTGCTAATGAGGTATGACAACTTAGACCAACGCATATATTTGTCTGGTCCTACGTTGTAGCTGACTGACTATAGTTGGAATTCATTGTATCCTAATTCTAATATTAATTAATTCACAAGAAAATATGTTTACCATCTCTTGTCATTGGTGATAATTGTCTATATTTTAAACTATTACAACTTCATTAATTGCGGCAATAAAGTTTTTATAATCAGTAGCAAAGAATATTTAGGTAAATAAGAAGTTATAGTAAATAATAATTACTAAACATTTTAAACATAAATACCAGTTAAACAAACTATGTGAAACTAACTCTTGATAGAATTAGATTGACATCACGAATGAATCAATGCTAGATCGCAACTGAATATCTGGAAGCACTGGACAACCTTTTCGTCCTAGTATAGTATGTCTCAAATGTGCACATCCATGGTCTCGTGAGAGAATGCTTAAACTTTAGACCACTGAGTCGACATCCAACGGTGTTAATGTTTAACTTCTTAGTATATTTTAGTATTCACTAAAATGTTCATTATTATAATATAAGAAATTAAGCTATAGCACTTTATATTTGGATTAAAAACTTAAAAATTATGATAAGAAACCAATATACTATTATCATATATATATAAGCTTTAATAGTTAATATATTTTGCTTTGAAGTGATTGATTTAAACTAATGCAATTATTTGAAGGAGAATTAGTGAAAGAGTTATTCTTCAATTACCTTCATAGTATTCAGTAGAACGCTTAAGTTATTAGTATTGGAAAAGAAATTAGTCATCTTCCATTTAAAGACCTGTTACTTTGTTAATAAATATTGCATTTATAGATTTCTGGGAGATGTGTAAACTTTCACAAACCTAGACAGTATCATCAATGAATAAGAAGGATCTGATGTGAACGTAAAGACGAGGATTGGTAAATTAAGGGCAACATTCCTACAATTGAAGAACATATGGAACTCAAAACAACTGTCAACCAATGTCGAAGTCAGAATCTTCAATACGAACGTCAAGACAGTTCTACTGTACGGAGCTGAAACTTGGAGAAATACTACAATCACCACCTACAAAGTACAAGTATTTATAAATAGTTGTTTACGAAAGATACCCAATGTCCGTTGACCGGAAATCATCAACAACAGCCCACTGTGGGAGATAACAAACCGGAATCGACCTAAAGAGAAAATTACGGAATAGTGTTGGAAGTGGATAGGACACACATTGAGGAAATCATCAAACTGCGTCAGGATGTAGGCGCCAATTCGTAATCCTGGGGGTAGGGGAAAGGAAAATAGGAAAGCCGAAAATCGCACTAAGCCGGGAATTGGAAGCAGTGTAGTGTCGGTTATGTTAAGCCTACATAGCTTATTTTATTTGGGTCAAGATCAATAATTACGTGAAATGGTAAGACAGAACGTGTTCATAACTTAACAGATTTTTCAAAATTCTCATTACAACTTGGTGTCAGTTACATGTTTATTTGAAAATTATAGAGAACTGATTTGCCCAAAAAGACTGACCTCTAGTACAACATATGAATTTAACACCAAATTACTTGAATCTTTCATCTGTGTTGTATGATAAGTTCCCCTTTGTGTCCACATGGGTTATTCTAGCTTCCAGACATACCGATTTGTTTATTTTTCATGAGCCACATTTTGACCCTGTCAGTTATCCGCTTAATAACCTCATTGAATCACACTTCATCTAAACGAGTTAGCGCACTCACTTCTCTTTGTTATTCCACTTTTGATTTTGAATATGTCTGAATAAACAAGTACTTGCAATAAATTCATCCAACTCAACCTGTATTTAACTTCTTATTACCGGCATCACACAAAAAATGGGGTTAGTCTAGAGTGTTGTAATATACGAAATTAAACGGAAGATATGATGTTCTTAGCACTATTCTATACGTCTATTCAAATTGGAACCAAATCAGTTGGTCACAAAAAGTTACTTAAAATAATAATATTTACAATATTTAAATTAAACAGTTGATTACATTTTAATTCTCAGTCATATATTACTTAATTCTACTTATTAATATCTGGAGTATTTCAGTGAAGTATTAGTCCCTCTATTATTTATTCAGTTATTTATATGATTGATCTGTCCAAAACTCAAACGCATAACAACAATTTTAATGGTTCAGATCATGAGTTAATTGAAGCTAGACTACCATAGAAAACCTGTAAGCTCTGAACAGCCGTTTCGTCCTAGTATGGGACTCCTCAACAGTGCTCATCCACGATCCCGCACCCCGCGAGATTCGAACCCAGGATCTATCAGTCTCGTGCCAAGAGTGAAATTTCTAAAATCTTCACAAACCCCTTCTAATATTATTGTTTTATTGAGTCTAGACACACATCATAATTTTGTTTCTTTATCATTGAACTTTATGTAATTGATCTAAACAAAATAGAATTAAATAAGATAGAATTAATGAAGTAATTGAAATCACGTTTACATTACATTATATTACATAATGATTACTGACAATGTGATACTAATTCACACCCACACACACAACATACATATACACATACATACACTAGTGTACAAGTATGTAATGGTAGACATGTATAAATATCAACATAACCTTGACCTACCAATTTATTAATTAAACCTGACATAGATACATATAAATATATAAATGTGATAGAATTTACCGAAACATCAAAACCAAATCACTTTTCTATCATCATATTTATCATTAAAAAAATTCTAATTGAAACAAACAATAGTGCCAATCTTGAAACGGATTTGAATTTTTCCCCCTTCGAAAAACAAAAAACAAAACAAAAAAAAAAAGAAAGAAGAAAGCAAAACAATGAATCTCTTATGGAATTCTAATAAATCTTTATCAAAATCATCCATAAATCATGATTTAGAAGTGATTGTTGTTGGTTTAAATAAAACTGGAACTAGTTATTTAAAATCTGCATTAGAAATTTTATATCATGGTACAACATGTTTACATTATACTGATTTAATTTATCAATCAAATGATATAATAGATAAATGGTTAGAATTACATTTATGTCAATATCAAACAAAATTCAATGGATTTCATTATAATAAACAAGAATTATTAAAATTATTATTAAAAAATTATAAATCTGTATCCGGTATACCAATTACATCATTTTTAAATGATTTAATACAAATGTATCCTAATGTGAAAGTAAGTTGATTGTGTGTGTATGTGTGTGTGTGTGGTTTTTGTTTTGTTTTGATGTATGCTTCTATGAGTGAAAGTGTGGACATTCCTGCTATGGGTAACCGGTTGCAAGTATTAATGATTCGGTGTGAAAACTTGTAGACTACGGGTATTTTGTTCGTTCTTGGCTCCGATCTAGTGGGATGAAAAAGAGAGAATATGTTAGGTCTATAATCATTTCTTAGTATTCTATGTATCAAAATTAGATGTCCCTTTAGTCTGTGATAGGACAGAGTAAAGAGGTCTAACTATTCAAGCCGCTCTTTGTATGGTAAAATTCGGAGTTCTGGAATTGCACGGATAGCTGCCATCTGTACTTTTTCCAGGATATCCGACTCACCTTTTAAACAGGAGTTTTCAGCCTGAACGCAGTTCTCAAGCTTAGTTGTCACCAAGGTTGTGTATACTGTGGTGAACATGGTAAAATCTAACTTAGTGAATGCCCGTTTTAAAGTCCAGAGGGTTCTATACCTCTTAGCTGTGACCTCACGGCAATGAGCCGTCGCCTTAAGATCATGACTCACTGTCACCCAAAGATCGTTGTGAGACCGGACCACGGGTACGCAGGTACTTCCCCTATACTATATCTATTAACCTTTGTATCCCCAAAGTGCATTTAGACACACTTTGTCAAGTTGGTAGGCATCAGCCACTCCTTAGACCAGTTAATCACCTTATTTATGACTGCCTGAAGTGTACATGTATCTGGGTCTCGTGTTATTACTCGCCAGATTTTTACATCATTAGCGTATAATAACATTGGGGACTGTACTATACATGGGAGATCATTCACATACAGTATAAAAAGTAAAGGACCTAGGACAGAAACTTGAGGTACTCCACTAACTACCGGTCTCCTGGTGGAGCACTTGGAATTTTTTCCTACTTTCTGTCTACGACCTACCAGGAAATCCTTAAGCCATTTTAAAAGAAACCCGGCAATATCAGGATTTTCTAACCTCAATAGCTGTCTATTTGCTGGCACCTTGTCAAATGCTTTACTGAAGTCTATGTAGACAAAATTCCAATCAATAAAATTAGCTAACCTTTCAAAATTTGACAATAGTTTATCGTTAAAATCATCTTGTTGTAATCAATGTTCAGAATGATTTGAGTTTGAATTACTAGATCGACAGATTGATCCTTATGAAAGCCACTTTGTTGATTTTAAAGCTAGGCTTATACTCAATCTTTCATTTGATTTATCAACACTACGTCTTTGTGGTATTGATAGTAATGTGATGCCTCTGTAGTTCTCGTATTCTAGTTCAAAGTATTTTAACAAATTGTCCCACTATTATTGAATTTCAGTGGTTGTTACGCTTTATAGTTATTGACTGGTCGCTTTGGCTTACCATATCTTTCCGCTAACTTCTTGGTTGCACCACAGTTGTCTCATATTCCCTTCTTTTGCTGCTATTTTCGTCTGCCGTTGCTAGATCTTCTACATATTTCCTCTTATCAGATTTGATGCTCTTCTTCAATTAATGATTGGCTTTGATCATTGAAATTTAGCAGTAACTGATGAGTATATTCATTGTAGTGCTACTGGTATTCAATCATAATCCGAATAACTTGATGTTAATATTGCTTAGTGTGAAGCAGGTTCTTACTTTCGATCAACCACTGGTTGCCTTAAATGAAACTAACAATCAATTCTGACCTATATCATGAATTTTTCTTTCCATTCTCCTAATCTCTATTAAGTTTTTTTTAAAACCAACAGAAACTGCATGGCGTTTTAAAGAAGTCAGCATTTGTAGCGAGTGAATAAAACTTTTTCCTATGGAATGGAAGGAATCGTATTTTTTATCTGACACCGTGGACTTTTATGGTTCGGAAAGTTTCCTCTACATTGATATGTTCAGCTATAACAAATAACCCATGTACTTATCCTTCCAAACAACAACTATCAATCTGGTTGTCCAGATTTAATAGTAAATTGGGATATTAGGTGGCTGAAAGTAAATGCTGGGAAACTCTAAGTGACCTAGACTTTGTGCTGGTTAGAACTTGGCAACAAGGTGTACCTGTTCTCTTAAGGATACTGATGAACTCTGTGGAATCCTTGTTAATCATGCAGCTTACCAGCCTCACACGTTACCACTGAGCTGCAAAAATTGAGACTGGCCTTCTATTAGAGATGTCATTGATATGAAGTCACTTAGATTATTGACCACATTGCAAATTTATCGACAGGAATTCGATCTACACTGAAAGATTAAAGAGACAGCGTTGATCACTAGTCAGTAATCAACTAATTATGATAAAATACTGTCAGAAATTACATTTGACAATGAATCTCTGTTAAACTGTTTACTCTCTTCATGTTAACAATGTTGTTTATACATTTGATTACTGCTTGAAAATTTCTAAATATAATTGAAAGCGTTTCAAACATGGTGTTCTTATATGAATCTTTTGTAAATGCATATAGTTTTCATATTCAAGCGAAAAAAATTGAGATTAATACAATAAAGAATTTGTGGAGATTGTTGAATTTCATAGTTAAAATCATGGTCGGATCATCAGTATCGAGTATGAGGCAGTTAACCATTAATGGTAATGAAAAATTGTTGTTCAATCCTCAGTAAAGTAATGAATACACTCTTAAGGTGTTCTTTATTGTCAGAAAAGCGCTGTACACAGCTACCTAGTTAGCAATAGTTGTTTGACAAAGATCAATCAGTGACGTAAACTATGAAACCTTTAATCTACTATTATATTACTTATTATACATTCGTCTCAACTAATGTCAGCAGCAAATCAACAACTGAAAAACATCTGGAACTCAAAGCAACTGTCAACCAACACCAAAGTCAGAATTTTCACTACAAATGTCAAGACAGTTCTACTCTATGGAGCGGAAACTTGGAGAATTACGAAAGCCATCATCCAGAAGATACAGGTGTTTATTAACAGTTGTCTAAGCAAAATACTTCAGATCCGTTGGCCAGTCACTATCAGCAACAACCTACTATGGGGGAGAACAAAGCAGATTCCAGTGGAGGAAGAAATCAGGAAGAAGCTCTGGAAGTAGATAGGACACACATTGAGGAAAGCATGCAATCGCATCTCAAGGCAAGCCCCTCATATGGAATCCTCAAGGCTCAAGGAGGAGAGGAAGACCAAAGAACACATTACTCCGAGAAATGGAGACAGACGTGAGAAGAATGAGTAACAATTTGATAGAACTAGAAAGGAATGCCCAGGACAGAGTGAGTTGGAGAATGCTACGTGGCGGCTCATTAGGGGTAACAGACGTAAGTAAGTAAGTATGTAAGTATGTAACTAATGTCATAGTTAGCAATGTTAAAATTGAATTATTCTCGATTGGGAGTAACAGGCGTAAGTAAGTAAGTAATCTCATAATTAATCACTGATCAATTATCAATATTTATCGTATACTAATAATATTTATTTAAACTTTATTCATCTCAGGTTATTTTAACAGTACGTAATGCTGAATTATGGCATGCTGCTTGTCGTACAAATCTTATACCATATCAATCAAATGAATCAAAATTACAAAAATTTTTTTATAAATTTTCATTATTTACATGGTTAATGAAATTGAATCAATTAAAATTATTATCATTACAAAATACATTAGGTAATACAATTAATTTAAAAAATGATAATGAATTAATTCATGCCTATAGTCGTTGGAATGATTATGTTCAATTGATTGTACCAAAAGATCGTTTATTAATTTATAATATTAAACAAGGTTGGTTACCATTATGTGAATTTTTAAATAAACCAATACCATGTTGTACATTTCCTGGTAGAAATACAATATTTCTATGGTCATATTTATTACGTCATCTGAAAAAATTATTTCATTTTATATTGTATATTTTTATTTATTTATTTATGATTTATTATTTTTTAAATATTTTCCGATAAATATGTAGGGTGATGTTTTTTTTTTGTTTTTGTCGTTGATTGTTTATTATTATTGTTCTCCCTTGGATACTACAGACACCCGCACACATGCACGCACGCACGCACACATACACACATGCACACACAGTGAACTACTCACAACTTGAAACAATAAACAAATAAACAAACACACACATCTATACATATATATATATACATATTAATCAATTCTGTATTATGAGTATTCTATTGTTGAACTGTTCTTTTATTATTATTATTATGATTCTCTGATAAATTGTTAATTACTTATTAAAATATGATTGTAGGTAAGCAATTTTAAAGATGTAGGTGTGTGTCTCTGTTTATTTATTGTTTACAAATTACTTCTTTTGTATACATAGTTCAAATGCGCTGTTTTTTCGCTTTTATTTTTAGTAATCAAATGTGAATAGACCTTGTAAATAAATTATTTTTTATTAATATGTCTATTCTAATTTGTTTATTCAGTACGGTGACAATTAGTTATTGATAAATGATGGATACGCTGGACATTAGTTTTTGTTCCTTTCAATTCCGTAGACAACAGCGCCACTAGGAGAAGGTAGTGAGTAGAATTTCTCTGTCAGTGGCTATATACGCGTGGCCATGTGAGAGCATTTCGAGAGGCAGAGAGGAATTTCCCTCCCTCGGCCGTACCAGAGCATTTGGGGGTTAGTGGACAGGGATAATCCATCTAGGGTAGTTAGAAAACCCTGATTCCAAACCAATGGTGCACATGGGCTCCAGTATCCTGAAGGAACAAGTGGCGTATGAAACAATCGTCGGCCACCGGCTAAAATGAGACTGAATCTTTTGACATCGCTCCACTGCCTTGTGGATCAGAACTTCAGGTCAAAGGCTCCGGGTGTGGCCCCCTAAGAAGACCATATGCTTCGGTCCAGGCACCCAGGCAGTATTATAGCTCATGAAAATCAAGTGACATGTGTGGTGCATATATATTCGGTGCCTCTTTGTACCAATATTTATGCGTTCAAATAAATAAATAAATAAGTTAGATATTAACACCGTTGGATGCCGGCTCAGTGGTCTAATGGTTAAGTGCTCGCGCGCGAAGCCAGTAGGTCCTGGGTTCGAGCTCCGGGTGGTGCGGGGTCGTGGATGCGCACTGCTGAGGAGTCCCATACTAGGACGAAACGGCCGTCCAGTGCTTCCAGGTTTTCAATGGTGGTCTAGCTTCAACTAACTCATGAGTTCATCTGTGAAAATAAATAATAGATAAATGCTGGATGAAGTGATTTTGAAAAGACTATTTAAGTTTGTACGCAGTATTTGTCACAGATTATTCTTAGTTGAATTAAGTTCCTGGCAGGTAGTTGTTACCAGAAATGTTTGGGTATATTGAGGGTACAGCATCCATTATGAATGGCGTTGAACGGTTGTCTTGCTACATCAGTAGTTGGTTAACGTTGGAAATTTGTACCACTGGACGTCAACCAAATAGTCTGGCAGTTAATAGATTGTTATGAAACCTAAAGGTCCTAGATTTCGTTGTTTTCAGGTTTAGGAGTGAATTCTCCAGAAATTCACCTCAGTAAAATGAGGTGCATCCGATCAGTAAAAAACTTCACCGAGATATCGATTAAAATTGTTAAACAGCAGAGCTGAAGTTTAAAAATTCTTACAACAATTTTGTAACATGAACAACATTAACGATATAATCTACTCGAACATACAATTCAACAGAAATGTCAGTTTTTCTAAGATGTTCAAGTGAGAGACCATTGAATATGAGGTCAAGCAGAATGAATGCCAGAAACCAAGATTGACATTGATATTGGATTCAAATCTAACAAAACTGAACAATTTGCGAACTAGTAGACGGAATTAAGACTGAGTGGTAATAGATAAAGGCCATTGGAAAGTCAAATTAAGTTTCTTTGGAACGTAGGATTCAATAATCCATTCAACTGATTGCTCCATAATGATCTGTAGAGTTGCGATTTGGTCTGTACACGATCTATCCTTACGGAATCCTACCTGTTGGTCTCGAAGTTGAGAGTCTATGGAGTCCTTTATGCTGGTTAACAATACCCTGTTGAAGATTATTCCTGGTATTGAGAGAAGAGTGATGCCGCTGTAGTTATCACGATTGCTGAGATTCTTGAATTCTATCTGAAACTAGTCATTAATGATTATTTTCAAATCTCGAAGCAAACATTTTATGAGAAAACGGACCAGGTTGCTTCAAAATTATGAGAAACCCGTAAATCTTTTATAAATTTTGGTTAGTGTTTAATAATACATATGTGAAAATTAGCAACAATTTTTTGTATTCAACAAACAAAATATTCAGGAAACTTAACTTTTAGGACGTTAATACATTTTCCACATCCTACACCTCCATTAAACTCTTAAATATGGTATCATTACTTTCACAGCTGAAATCGCGAACTTATCTTAACGAGATCCCTATTGAAATACTAGGAGCACTGGATCGCCATATTTCTCGTAGTGTAGGAATCCCCAGCAGTGAACGTTTAAGACCCTGCATGTGGGAATCAAACCCATGACTTTCGGTTTCGGATACAAACGCCTAATATCTTGACTACTAAGCCAGAATCCAACAATGTTGATGTTTAACTTCAATAAGTTCAGGATATTATTTACGTACTATTTAATGTTAATCGAACAAAACTATACTGTTGAACTGTTTATATGAAACAGGTTATTCTGGCAACCTTATCGTAATATAAAATGTTTCAAAAGCAATCACCAAGGATAAAATAAAAACGTGCAACTATTCATCATACATCTCTTTTAATTGATTTAATTCAGAGGTTTGTTTCTGGTTTAGCCATGTACGTCGTAAAAGTATTTTATGGATGTTTATGTGTGTTTTACATATAGAAACACATTTGAACCTGCAGTACTGGTGATGATTTGTTTTAGAGTTCATTTATTTACATAATAAAATGTTCTATCTGATTAAAACTTATTGCCAAGATATGCGCTTTATATCGTTTAAATGTTAACCGATTTTACAGGATTTGTAAGGGTCTTTGGTAGTGAATAGCTCGAAATAATTAAAATTTTTTAAATGTATTTATATAACGATTTGAACATGGATAATGTATTTAAGTAACAACAGAAATCAACTTTATCCTATCAAGAGCCGGACTATTATATCTCAATTTAGAGCATTATTTATGCATTGTATTTATATCATTCTCCCAGTATAACATTAGGTATACAGGACTCGGTACATTTAATACTCCGTTAGTGGGGCCCGTTATCTGACTCCAAGAATATCCTAATGAATGTTTGTTATCGCCTATTCTCGTATATAATCATCGACTTAAATCGCGTTAGTCAATAACAGAATTAAATAAGTCGAATAACGAGAATGGACTTTTGAATACATATATTTTGTATATGAAGCGAATGGAATAGAGAGAATCGAAACGACGCACAGTGGAGATGGCGGGTAAGCCAACTCCGTTTAGTCAAGAGTTAATCGATATTTATAGTTACAGAAAAGTAAGTTACAGACACTTGATGAGTAATGGGATAAGAAATGTACACACACCCACGCGCTCATATAAAAACAGTCAAGATTGATAAGCGAATAATTAACAAGGTCTGAATGTGATTCAAGTAGAATGAATAGGATGGGCTGTCCGAATGCTTGAATAAGGAATATGGGCTTAACATAATAGCCGACACTATACTCCATTTTTTAGTCATCAATGTTCGAAAACATTTTTGTTGTTGGTATCCTTCACATTTACTGGTATCTAAACATAATTAATAATGAAGTAAGAGGACATTGATTTGAATGTAGTAGACGTTAATTTCTAAAATGGTTTTTAGATTGAAAAAGAAATCTTGACGAATATTCGTATGAAAAAGAAATAATTGAAAATTAAATATTTCCAACGTTTCGCCCAACAAACTTGTCTGGACTTCTTCAGGATTATGTCTGATTTAAGTCAATGTTAACCTGACAAATTTGGTGAATCTGTCTTGAATATATCATTGATAATAGCGGCTTTTTATTATTTTTCTTGTCTATGAAATTTCAGACATTTATACTATTGCATATTGAAATTCATGAGTCAATCGAAGCTAGACCACTATGAAAAACCTGGAAGCGCTGGACAGTCTAGAGGTTAAGCGTTCGTGTGCGAGAATGATAGGTCCTGGGTTCGAATATCAAGAGGTGGGATCATGGATGCGCACTGTTGAGGAGTATCATACCAGGATGAAACGACCGTCCCGTGTTCCCAGGTTTTACATAGTGGTCTAGATTCAATTCATTTATGAATTCAACTATAAAATTGCTAAGATTTCCACAAAACCCCTTTCTGATTTATACCATTGATTAAGTATTCTCTTTGACTATTTAAAGCATTTTTTAAATGCATTTAACACAACCTATTTGTAAGTGTTACTTGTTTTCATCTCTTCCTTAACAATAACAATAATCATTATATTAATACATAGAAAATAACAAATGGAAACCTCAGATTTGTGATGCTTAAATTATCAAAGAAGCGGTGTAGAATTATGGTCTATTTCGGCATCAATGTATTTATCTTTACTACTATAATAATAGACCTAATCCCACAATCGTACATTTGTCATGATGTAACAACCTAATCTATAAGATTTTACGTGCAAATCACACCAATGTCTACGGCGACTCGTCCTATCATGACAGTCAGCAATATAACATCTAATACTTCCGAAGAACACATTTTTGGGCTAAGTAGAGAGATATATATTTAATACAAAAGCAAGAGATTACATGGGATGACTACGTCTGCATGGCCGAGTCATCCCATTTCGATTGACTATTCCCGCGTTAATTAAATCTCAGAAATTATATGTTCAGGTTCGAGAATTATGTGGTTAGAAACCAGTACCACTACAACAGTTTACCACTTCATTTAGGCGCGCACGAATTATCCTGACACAAAAATTTGAGTAAAATCATGTAGTCAGATTGAATGATAAGGCATTTTCTTTTATTCTAAAGCGTTCGAGGAAAAAAATACGGCATAGCCTCTGATAGTGTGATGAAGTTTGAAGTGCATATGATATCGACAAGGTACAAGACATCTTTATATTTATTGCCGAAACATACCTGCAATGATATTAAAAAAACCCACATCATACAATGACCCAATAAGGTACATTAATTCAAATTCATTCAAGTTACAACTAACCTACTATAGTGCTGGAATAATTACATTAGGTCAGAACCAATATTGCTTTTTCATAGCACTAACTAGCGCTAATCAACTAAATGCATATGATTTCAAGTCACTTAAACTAGTGATAACATGATAACTTGATCAATAAAATTTGATTAGAAACATGTAGAAAATGATTATGAAACTGGTTACTGCTTGTTGATCAATAGATACAGATATATATTGAGATTAGATGGGGG